GCTGTGCGCAAACACACACAACCTATAACGAAGAGACGGCTGTGCACAAGAGTGTGCAACCTCGACCTAGTTGTGTAAAACGCACCAGGATTGAGCAAGGCCAGGCAACTCGTGTGCAACAACGCACGTCTTGAGGCTTGCACATGACCAGAAAGGCAACGGTCGCGCGTTGTGACATGCGGCCGAGGATAGACTGTGAGCAACAACACACAACCAGAATCGGGCCAACCACGCATGGCCAGGGAGAAGTCGCACGCAGCACCAAGACAAGGCAGTCATGTGCTATAATGCGTGGCCAAGGACAGGCTGCGTGCAACATCACACGGCTAGGGTTTGCTGTGCATAGCAGCTACGTACGGCAAAGTGCAACCAGGGGATAGTTGCACGCAACTAGCTCCGTGTGCGGCAACGTAGGACATCTAATAATCCACCATCAATTTTAATTTTAAATCAAAATTAAACAAACATAAAAAAAACCCATCAATAAATTAAAACATAAGATTAGTCAATTAATCAAATTCAATTCAATTGATCAAAAACCCTAAAATTGCAATCAAACAAATCACAATCAAATATATAATAATAAAACCTATATATATCGAACCCAAGGCTCTGATACCACTATAAGGCTTCATTGAACAGTGCAACGGAATAAAACAAAAAATTTATCTAATAAAACCCTAATCCCAAAATTAGGATTGACATATATAGTTTTATTTTAGCAAAATTAATCAAGAACAATGATTAATATTTCATAGCTATGTTTGATGGCTCCTTTGGATTCGTTTTGAAGAATTTTCACAATTTGATTCAAGTAAGAATCGCTCCAAGTAAGTCCACACAAAGGCAGGATTAAAAACCACAATGAATGAAACTGCTAGATTTAATTGAAAGTTCAAAGGAACAAAGAGAAGAAATTTTTCTCTCAAAACCGTGAAGGGTGGCTAAGGTTTTGTTAACTCATTTTTAGTTCTTTTCTTTCCTTTATATAGTAAAGGATAATCCTATTCCTTACTTGGAATAGGATTAACATTATTCCTATATGGATAACTAATAAATATAAATATTTATTTATTTCATTTAGCATTTTGTGAATACACACACACACACACACACACACACATATTCCATATTAAATATTAATGTTTTAAATTAATATTAATGTGCTTTATAATTTTGCTAAAATTTAATTAAATATAAATAGTGAATATAGGCAACAACCTCAACGAATTTAATCACACAACAAAATTATCAAAATGTCAAGTTCATCTAAAACACAAAACTACCTTTCCATTATCATTCTCCTTAAACTACCTTTAACGTGCATAACCGGTAGGCTCTTTATTGTGTTGGCAATGATCGGAATCGTGATTTAGCACCAACTAATTAGTCTTCCGTACACCAACCAAGATTAGCCTTTAGCAAGGCATCATCGTTGCCCAACAAATAAAGATTCTACGAAATCGCTACTGTCAATAGTATGGTTACCATGCAATTCAAATCTCTTGATCATCATTTTTCTCATCAAGGTTTGAAGTATAGAAATAGTTTCAACTTCAATCATATTACCTTGATATGTTTGCATTCAGTTATCGAATCAGTGACCAAATAAAATTGGATTTGAGCAGCAACTCAATTCCATTGTGGCCATAATTTTGCGGTCGTTGCTATTAACTGAATAGCCCAGTGAGATAATTTCTCCTGTACCTAAGAGTGATGAATCATTTATCGATCCATCATAGCCATATTGTACTTCTTAATGCAACCAACCACTACCGTACTGATAACTCTAAATAGGATTACGTTAGACTAGTTTCAAATTACACCAATATTTATACATGGCACTATGGTGATCTCAAGTCTAAGGATCACATACACCACATCCGTTAGAGGATATATTACATAGACATTAGGGTTATTATCTACATGAAATCCTCTAATGGGTTAGTCCAATGAACTTGTAAATAATAAGTATCAACACGTTGTACTAGGTTGTCATCAAACAACCTTGACATGTGAGAATTGTCACTACCTTTCGGTAGGGTCGTTCAACTCTATGATAGTCTTACTATATTATCTGTGTCCTTGATCAAATTAATATCAAGGCTACAGAAATTTCTAGAATAGTCACCATATGCGATCATAGGGTCCTCAAATCAAGATTTGAAACACTTGAATTCTCTCGTCATGGTTTAACCATTCTAAGGATATATATCAATATATAAATAAATAACATGATATATAAATTTATGCCTTTATTGATATTTAATATAATGTTACAAGAGTAAAATAGTATTGGCTCTAGTGCACTTATACTAACAATTAAATAGGGTCTGCATGTCTTGCCTTCTTATTCTCTCCATTTATTTCTTTTCTCATCTCAATCCCCTCAAATGTCACTTGAGGTTTTTGATTTATTGATGTAAATTAGTATAATTTTATTTTCTTGTAATTAAGATACAATTAGGGATGTAATTGAGCCGAGGTGAGTTTTGGACTGATTGAGCTCGGCTTGGTTAGTGTTGAGCTCAAGCTTGGCGAGCTTGAAAAATCAAACTTGAGCTCAACTGGCTTGAGCTCGAGGAAAGCTCAGGTTGGGTATGTATTATTTTTCCCTACATTTTTCATACATTTTCTCAACAACCAAACAAAGCCTAGGTAGGCAAACAAAAGAACTAAATAATACAACTAAAACTGAAAATGAAATTGGGTTTAAAGGAAGAGAGAATTTTTTTTTTAATTTTTTAATTGTAAGAGAAGAGAAAGAGAGAATGAAACCTTATGGATTTTAAACTTAAACTTCATCTTTACATTTTGAAACTAGTGGTTATAGAAAAGGTTGCTCAACGTCACTACTCTGCTGCTACTGAAAATATATACCGAATTGGACTCGCATTATGTGAAGGGTTTGAAGTTACAGTAATTTGAACAAGAAGCGACCATGAGTAGCAAAGAATGGAGCAAACACTAGAGACTCCACTGCCATGAGCTTGAAACATTGAAACTTTGAAAGAGAAGAGAAGAGAAGAAAACAAAACCTTGAAACTTTCAAGGGAGGGAAAATGTTTCTATTTTTTATTTGTAAGAGAAGATAGAGAAAATATATTTTCTCTATCTTCTCTGGTTCTCTTACAATTAATGTTGTGTCCTTTTTTTGTTCTAATGCCACAATGTCTCGAACCCACCACCAATGAAATGACTCGTTTTCTTCTCACTTTTAAAAACTAAAAAGTTACATATCGCTCCCTATTGTTTCAAAAATATCAAATATACCATGAGCTTCCTAGAGCTCGTGAGCCTACAAGCCAAGTTCTAGCTTGTTCGAACTCAGCTCAACACTGTAGCTGAGTTGAGTTCGAACTTTTATCGAGCTAAGTGCAAGCGGCTCAGCTCGACTCGACTGCCACCCCTAAGTTGTATGATGTACATGAAGACGAAAAGGAGTTGCAATGCTTATTCCCGATGACACAAGATTTGTGTTTGCCTAAATAAACAAGAAATCCTTCCAAAAACAAATTAAAAGCAACAAAAGGACGGATTAAAATAAGTAAAGAACAATTAATTTTTATAAAAAGAAAAAATGTTGAAAACACTTATAAAGACATCTTTCACAAACTTATTAGATTTTTGGTTCACACACCTAACCACTCTTACCAAATTTCCGGCTCCAATTCCGGTTGTTCTCCCTCTCCAAAACCCTTACACTTCCAGCTCCAAGTCGCATTCTATCAAGCCCAATTCCTACGGTTTTCTAGTTCCAAAATTCCACCACTCACCACCATTAGCCTCTCCACTTCCTCCTGAACAAAACCCCTACCAACACTAACCACCGTTGCTTCCCAATCACCGGCCACCACCTGCTGCAATTCGCGACCAAACCACCCCACCCAAAATCAATCCAACCCAAAAAACAACACAAAAACACTTCGAAAACAAGCATAATCAATCTCCAAATCAATCAAACACCCACAGACTCCTTGTAAAGCCTTGAACCAACCTCCAATTAAACTTAATTTTTACCAAAATCGCAAAACCCTAAGGAGAGTGACGGACAGCGAACGGCAGACAACTAGGATCGGGGCTATTGGGGGTTTCTGAGGTGGGATGCCGGTGAAACTATTGGTGGTAATGGGGTTAATTTTCGGTGTTGGGAGCGATCAAAATTTTGCTTGAAGCGCATGAACAATAAAATTGCGGTGGTCAACAAACGGTTGGAGATGAAAGAGGTTTTGGAGAGGGGGATGAGAGGATCCTAATGGTGGTGTTGGATTGGTCAATTGGTGCCAAAATTAGGCTAGATTGGGCTTAAACGATGGTTGAGTGGGTTTGAGTGGGTTTGGTGGGTGCTGGTGGTGGCTAGATGGTGAGGGTGAGGGTGGTGGTGGCTAGATGGTGAGGGTGAGGGTGATGGTGGCCGGGTGGGCTGAAATAATAAGTAAAGAGTAGGATGGTAACTGCACAAGTCAAATTTTAAATTTAATATAAAATAAATGGAATCAAGATATAAACTTGAGATTTGGCTAATCCTTGGGTGAGAACATGTCGTTTGCTCTGTTCTTTAATCAATTTAAGTGATACAAGGTTGCGATAGGACACTTCTTGAAGGAGTTCTTTACAAGCAGGTCGCGGGTTGACTTACCAATAACTAAAAACCCGTGGTCGAAATAGAACAAGGAAGACATTAGAAGCATCTAACTAAATGACCCTGACAAAATGCGTAACATGCCACTATAGCAGATTTTTGTGCTTTTGTTATTTTTTATCGTAATTGAACATTTTGCCGTAATTTTCAATTATAATTTAATTTCAAAAGACCACCAACGAGTTCCTCTCGAAATAGATCTTTTTTTTTTTTTTTTTCTTTTTTTTTCAAATTTTATGTACTACCTTTAGGTACTATTAAATAGTGAAAGTCATTTTAAAAGTTGTATGTTAGATAACCGGTCTTTGAATCAGTAGACAGAAACCTTAGAGACGACAGTGTAAGTATCCCTCTATGAAAGGCCTCTTCCAAAAGACAGACAAAGGTGTTTTAAGAAAATATTTTGAATATTAATTCAAGTCAGACTTAGAAGTTAGACCTGTGGCATGAATGTTGCAGAGTTGGTCATGGAGCCTCTTGTTTTGCCCAAACACTCTGACCTCTTTCCACACCAAGTAGGATTTCTAGATCAACATTTTGAAACCCTTAAAGATTTTCCCGTCTCTTCACATCTCTTCACCTCACTCAATAACTCTTGTTCCGATTTGGACACTCAGTTCTTTTCCCTCGAGACCCATCTTTCAAAACACGCCGTTTCTTGGATTTCTCGCTCATTTCCGGCCAAAACCGCTCTTCACAAACTCAATCTCAAGCTAGCATCGATTCAATGTTAGTTTTTTCTTTTATCTTGCTTTTTTTTTTTTTTTCCCTTTTTATGCATAACTTTTGCTGTTTTTATTTGCTGGGTTCATATTTAATTTTCATTTTATAGACGGGACTGGTTCCAAGAAAATTCAGCAGATTTTGTTCGAGTTGTCTCAATTTGCTGAAGAATTGCGACGAATTCAGAATATTCATAATTATGTTGGTGAGTTGATTCTTTTTGAGTTTTTAGATTCTGTATGACGGAGGCAGAATTTTGTATCGGTGGGGGCAAATGAAAAACGTTTTAAATATTATCATCCATCAAAAATCAACTTTTTAGTTCATTAAATTTCGTTAATAGATCTTCGTTTACAGAATAATTTTGTATTTATTTTATGTATCTGATTGATAACAAATGAAACAGATTAAAATATATTTGATATTTCAGAAGAACAAAATAAAAATAAAATGGAGATAATGCATGGATTTAGGCTATTTTGAATAAATAAAATAAATGGGTGTTAATGTTAAAACATAGAGTAGAAATGTATAACTAATATGTTTCCTAGTTCAGTAGCGGACATGAGCCCCCACTCACCCCTTAGTGGCTCCGTCTGTGTCTGTATATTGTTGATTGGATCAGTAGTCTCAATATTAACTTGATTTTGTGTCATTTGGCCAAAAAAAAGGATTATTGTAATGAATTCTCTTGCAAAGCTATCACTTTAAATTACAATTATGTGAGTCTAGTTGGTGTTGGATGACTATGCTTTTTTCCTAATGCAATCCCTATGGCAATGTTCAGTGTGTTTCTGTTACATGGAGTTGCAGATCTTATGCAATTGCATCAATGTTCTTTTGATTTAGTGTATTGGGTCCTCTCTAAGCTTTCTGTGTCTCCAGATACTACTCTAGAGTTAGAAACTTTGGTTGGAGATCTTGAAGATGAAGTTTTCTTTGCAGTGAATCACCCCAATGGGAATATATTCTCGGCGAAGCGTTCAAATTCATCAATAACTGCGGTAGGGACTGTTTCTTTGTTCTTGACTTATTAATTTTGGATGTGTGCTGCAATGGTAGAAAAGTATGGTTGGGTTTCGAAAAATACGTAGATATATATTGATGCATTCTTATAATGCAGGACTTTCAACCAAAAAATGAAAGGTTGGTTCAAGCCTTAAAAGTTCTTAATGGGATTGAAGAAGTACTGGTTCGTGTTGCAAAAATCCAACCCCAGTGGCATCATCTTTTGAAATCTGTTGATATTAGAGTGGATAAGTTGTTGGCTGTTCTTCGGCCGCAAGTGTTTGCAGATCATCGCAATCTTCTTGCTTCTATAGGATGGCCACCAAAACTTGTAACGTCAGAAAGTGGGAGTGCAGATATCCGTGGCATTCCAAATCCCCTAGTTTCAGTGCAAGGAAGCCAAAGGGAGTGTTACTATCAAAGTGCACTTGCTCTTTGCGCTTTGCAGCATCTGCAGACACGAAGGGAAAAGCGACAGCTTAATCTTTTTGGGCAGGAGCGTGATGCTGGCATTTGGGTCATTGACGAACTGGTATCTCCTTTTGCATCACGAATAGAATATCATTTCTTAAGATGGGTTGAGCAGCCTGAATATATTTTTGCTCTTTTGTATAAAATCACTAGGGACTTAATTTTGGGAGTAGATGATGTTTTGGGCCCTTCAATTGACAAGGCAAGATTGCGAACCTATGGTGCTAAAGCAGCTTGGGTTTCTGCAATGGTACAAATGCTTTCTAAATTTTTGGCAAAAAGCATTTTTCCATCTCTTTGTGAAAGATACAAGGAGAAACATGAGAGAGCAGAAGTGATGTCTTCATGGCTTCATCTGATAGACCATATTATTGCATTTGATAGAAAGATGCAATCAGTCCTAAGTTTAGAAAATTATTTCTTCTTGAAGGACACTGATATGTTTGAAGGGCTTTCAAGAAGCATATCAGTATTAATGCTTTTTTCTGACCAGCCAAAATGGCTTAATGTTTGGGCAAAGATAGAGCTCAAGAATGCCTGGAGAAAACTAAAAGCAGAACTGAAAGATGAGAGAGCATGGTTAATTGACAACATAGGTAATTTTGACCTTCATATAGAGAAAGAGTCTGAACAATTTTTACTCTCTACAAGAGAACATCATAAATCTCCACTCATAGCAGAATCTGCTATTAGATTTTCCTGGGAAATGATTGAACGGTGTCAAACTTTTCCAGCCGTTTTACCACGTATTCAGTTTATAAGGTCAACAGCAGCCAAATTCCTCTGGCATTTTCTTAATGTCTTGTTGTTTCGGTGCAAGGGCATTGAATCATATCTGGACAATCCTGATGTCGAAATCCTTATGACAATATGTGGATCAATCAATGCTGCCAGGTATGTTGAATCTAAACTGCGAGAATGGAGTGAGGATGTGAACTTTTTGGAGATGACTGCTGCTGAAAATGATTCTAACATCTCTAGAAAAAATCATGTAACATATGATAATAGCTGCTTCTTTTGGGAAGAAATCAAAAGTTTGCTAGAGTTTGAGACAAATTGGCTTATGGAGATAGTAGCGGCTCTTCTTCGTCAATTTGAAACTCTTTCCTGGGAGTATATCCAAAATAAGGATCGTTTCGACCAAGAGCAAGAGCAAGAAGAATTTTTTGAAACTCTTTCTTGGGAGTATATCCAAGATAAGGATCATTTCGAGGGAGAGCAAGAAGAATTTACTAAGGAAAGAGATTCAGTTGCATCGATCGATTTTGTTGAATCATTGGATGCTTTGAGGAGACGGCTTAGTGCTTGTAAGATGAGTCTTAATCCAAAGGACTTCATAGATTTATGGCGAAGTGTCGCTGACGGGCTTGACCATTTTATCTTCTGCAGCATTTTTACAAACAAGATTCAGTTTTCAAGCAATGGGATGAATCTGTTTGAAGCTGATATGGAAGCATTGTTTCTGGTTTTCAAACCTTTTTGTGGTCGCCCAGAAGCATTTTTTCCTTGTATTAGAGAGACTCTTAGTGTGTTAAAGATTAGTGAGGGAGAATTAAAGCAGTTGCAAGTGGCTTTGTGTAATGATAAAAATAGATCAAAATACTTGCATTCTTTGGGAATTTCTCACTTGTCATTTGACCAAATTGATAAAATTTTGAGCAGTAGGAAGTTGTGAAGTTTTTTTTTTTTTTTCATTTTGTGATTTTTTATTATTTTTTGTGTTTTTCGTCCATCTTTGAATTGTTTTCTTCTTTCCTTTACTATATACTTTTTTGACTATGTCGGCTCTCTTTGTTAAATTCATGGAATATTAATGAATATCCTTTAACTAAAAGAAAAAGTTGTCTCTTTGGTTGCCACAAAGTTTGTGAACTGCTGGCTTCAAGTTTCAGCAGTTTCGATTATTTTCTTCAAAGCAGACGGCCAATAACATTGGTTTTACATATTGTGGATTTGTGGCTCATGTTGCGTTTTAGGTTTTTCATTAGAATGGTGATAAAATTGACGAATTTTTAATTTTGTAAATTCTGCAAGAACTGATAATAATACAAGTCTATTTAAAACTAAAATTATCTTTTATAATAATTTTATTTAAGGTCAAAATTGTCAAAATCAAAAGTCGAAAAAAAAAAAATTTGGAGGTTATTGATAAAAAAAGGTGAGGGGTAAAACTTACATTTGATAATTTTAAGGAATTCTGGATAAGTCCACTATAATTTGATCTAGTTTGCTCCAATGTTTTAAAACTTAGCCTGACCAGGTCAATTGAACCGGTTTGAGGGCCGATCTTGAAACTGGGGTGTGAATTCACACGGTATGACCTGTGAACCAACTTTTTAGTTCATTAAATTTCGTTAATAGATCTTCGTTTACAGAATAATTTTGTATTTATTTTATGTATCTGATTGATAACAAATGAAACAGATTAAAATATATTTGATATTTCAGAAGAACAAAATAAAAAAAATAAGTGATGATAATGCTTTGATTTAGGCTATTTTGACTAAATAAAATAAATGGGTGTTAATGTTAAAACATAGAGTAGAAATGTATAACTAATATGTTTCCTAGTTCAGTAGCGGACATGAGCCCCCACTCACCCCTTAGTGGCTCCGTCTGTGTCTGTATATTGTTGATTGGATCAGTAGTCTCAATATTAACTTGATTTTGTGTCATTTGGCCAAAAAAAAGGATTATTGTAATGAATTCTCTTGCAAAGCTATCACTTTAAATTACAATTATGTGAGTCTAGTTGGTGTTGGATGACTATGCTTTTTTCCTAATGCAATCCCTATGGCAATGTTCAGTGTGTTTCTGTTACATGGAGTTGCAGATCTTATGCAATTGCATCAATGTTCTTTTGATTTAGTGTATTGGGTCCTCTCTAAGCTTTCTGTGTCTCCAGATACTACTCTAGAGTTAGAAACTTTGGTTGGAGATCTTGAAGATGAAGTTTTCTTTGCAGTGAATCACCCCAATGGGAATATATTCTCGGCGAAGCGTTCAAATTCATCAATAACTGCGGTAGGGACTGTTTCTTTGTTCTTGACTTATTAATTTTGGATGTGTGCTGCAATGGTAGAAAAGTATGGTTGGGTTTCGAAAAATACGTAGATATATATTGATGCATTCTTATAATGCAGGACTTTCAACCAAAAAATGAAAGGTTGGTTCAAGCCTTAAAAGTTCTTAATGGGATTGAAGAAGTACTGGTTCGTGTTGCAAAAATCCAACCCCAGTGGCATCATCTTTTGAAATCTGTTGATATTAGAGTGGATAAGTTGTTGGCTGTTCTTCGGCCGCAAGTGTTTGCAGATCATCGCAATCTTCTTGCTTCTATAGGATGGCCACCAAAACTTGTAACGTCAGAAAGTGGGAGTGCAGATATCCGTGGCATTCCAAATCCCCTAGTTTCAGTGCAAGGAAGCCAAAGGGAGTGTTACTATCAAAGTGCACTTGCTCTTTGCGCTTTGCAGCATCTGCAGACACGAAGGGAAAAGCGACAGCTTAATCTTTTTGGGCAGGAGCGTGATGCTGGCATTTGGGTCATTGACGAACTGGTATCTCCTTTTGCATCACGAATAGAATATCATTTCTTAAGATGGGTTGAGCAGCCTGAATATATTTTTGCTCTTTTGTATAAAATCACTAGGGACTTAATTTTGGGAGTAGATGATGTTTTGGGCCCTTCAATTGACAAGGCAAGATTGCGAACCTATGGTGCTAAAGCAGCTTGGGTTTCTGCAATGGTACAAATGCTTTCTAAATTTTTGGCAAAAAGCATTTTTCCATCTCTTTGTGAAAGATACAAGGAGAAACATGAGAGAGCAGAAGTGATGTCTTCATGGCTTCATCTGATAGACCATATTATTGCATTTGATAGAAAGATGCAATCAGTCCTAAGTTTAGAAAATTATTTCTTCTTGAAGGACACTGATATGTTTGAAGGGCTTTCAAGAAGCATATCAGTATTAATGCTTTTTTCTGACCAGCCAAAATGGCTTAATGTTTGGGCAAAGATAGAGCTCAAGAATGCCTGGAGAAAACTAAAAGCAGAACTGAAAGATGAGAGAGCATGGTTAATTGACAACATAGGTAATTTTGACCTTCATATAGAGAAAGAGTCTGAACAATTTTTACTCTCTACAAGAGAACATCATAAATCTCCACTCATAGCAGAATCTGCTATTAGATTTTCCTGGGAAATGATTGAACGGTGTCAAACTTTTCCAGCCGTTTTACCACGTATTCAGTTTATAAGGTCAACAGCAGCCAAATTCCTCTGGCATTTTCTTAATGTCTTGTTGTTTCGGTGCAAGGGCATTGAATCATATCTGGACAATCCTGATGTCGAAATCCTTATGACAATATGTGGATCAATCAATGCTGCCAGGTATGTTGAATCTAAACTGCGAGAATGGAGTGAGGATGTGAACTTTTTGGAGATGACTGCTGCTGAAAATGATTCTAACATCTCTAGAAAAAATCATGTAACATATGATAATAGCTGCTTCTTTTGGGAAGAAATCAAAAGTTTGCTAGAGTTTGAGACAAATTGGCTTATGGAGATAGTAGCGGCTCTTCTTCGTCAATTTGAAACTCTTTCCTGGGAGTATATCCAAAATAAGGATCGTTTCGACCAAGAGCAAGAGCAAGAAGAATTTTTTGAAACTCTTTCTTGGGAGTATATCCAAGATAAGGATCATTTCGAGGGAGAGCAAGAAGAATTTACTAAGGAAAGAGATTCAGTTGCATCGATCGATTTTGTTGAATCATTGGATGCTTTGAGGAGACGGCTTAGTGCTTGTAAGATGAGTCTTAATCCAAAGGACTTCATAGATTTATGGCGAAGTGTCGCTGACGGGCTTGACCATTTTATCTTCTGCAGCATTTTTACAAACAAGATTCAGTTTTCAAGCAATGGGATGAATCTGTTTGAAGCTGATATGGAAGCATTGTTTCTGGTTTTCAAACCTTTTTGTGGTCGCCCAGAAGCATTTTTTCCTTGTATTAGAGAGACTCTTAGTGTGTTAAAGATTAGTGAGGGAGAATTAAAGCAGTTGCAAGTGGCTTTGTGTAATGATAAAAATAGATCAAAATACTTGCATTCTTTGGGAATTTCTCACTTGTCATTTGACCAAATTGATAAAATTTTGAGCAGTAGGAAGTTGTGAAGTTTTTTTTTTTTTTTCATTTTGTGATTTTTTATTATTTTTTGTGTTTTTCGTCCATCTTTGAATTGTTTTCTTCTTTCCTTTACTATATACTTTTTTGACTATGTCGGCTCTCTTTGTTAAATTCATGGAATATTAATGAATATCCTTTAACTAAAAGAAAAAGTTGTCTCTTTGGTTGCCACAAAGTTTGTGAACTGCTGGCTTCAAGTTTCAGCAGTTTCGATTATTTTCTTCAAAGCAAACGGCCAATAACATTGGTTTTACATATTGTGGATTTGTGGCTCATGTTGCGTTTTAGGTTTTTCATTAGAATGGTGATAAAATTGACGAATTTTTAATTTTGTAAATTCTGCAAGAACTGATAATAATACAAGTCTATTTAAAACTAAAATTATCTTTTATAATAATTTTATTTAAGGTCAAAATCAAAAAGTCGTAAAAAAAAATTTGGAGGTTATTGATAAAAAAAGGTGAGGGGTAAAACTTAAATTTGATAATTTTAAGCAATTCTGGATAAATCCACTATAATTTGATCTAGTTTGCTCCAATGTTTTAAAACTTAGCCCGACCTGGTCAGTTGAACCGGTTCAAGGACCGACCTTGAAACTGGGGTGTGAATTCACACAGTATGACCTGTGGTTGGACCGGGGTCACTATAGCAACCCATTGATCCAACCGATTTTGGGGGAAAACCGGGTGAATCTCAATTTCAAATCACGACAACTTTCGGTTGGTGTTCAACTGTCAAACAGGAATTGAGGTTAGGGGGTTTTGAAAGGTGGATCACGGTGAGTCGAGAGGTGTTGTCCGATTAAGTTTAAGTCACTAGAATCGCTGAAATTTGGCCAAGAAACAACGAAACCCGAGCTTTTTATTGCCGGCGATTGGTGGGTGAAATGGCTTGGGAACCTTGGGGGTTTTGTAAGGGAGGAGAGGATGAGTCTAAGGGTGGTGGTGGTTGGAGTTGTTATGGCTCAAAACGGCCAGAATTCGAAAAAGGAAAGCCAATCGACTCAATTGTCGCGGCGAGTGATGAAAGGGGATAAAGGGTATGGTTTTGAAGAGAAGAGGATGGGGGTTTAATGGTGGTGACAAGGGTGATTTTGGGTGAGAAAACAATCGGAAAAAGGGGAAATAAGGTTGGCATCGACGCTTACCAATGTGCGCCTGAAACAGCAATAGTGCTAATGTGCATTGAAAATAAAAATAAAAAAATGAACTTTTTTTTATGTTGACATCACTGATTTGACCCGTCAGTCAAACTGATTAAACTGGACAACCCGGGACCCAACCACTTTCCTGGGTTTAGCCCCGAGTTGGTTTTTAAGACATTGGTTTGCTCCATTCCTATATGAAATAATCCACAGTAACATCCAAGCCTCAATCCCCAAACATTAATGTATACTTGTATTGTTCAATGTTTTAATTACCAACTCGGGGTGAAACTCGACAAAGTTGTCAGGTCCTTGGTTAACTAATTTAACCGGTTTGACCGGTTGTCTCAAAAAGTTTAGAATTCAGCAAATATGCCCCTAAAAATTACGTTAAGTCTATACAAGTTTGAAATTTAGCAAACACACGCCAAATACAAATCGACAGTTGACTAGTTGGCGGAGGCGATACACCAAATGCAATCTCAATCATCCCTTGAGCTTATTCCCCAAAAAATCTATCCAATATCTAGCCAAAATCTATTCGATTTCGACTAGATCTCACTGATGCCGACATCAACATTCCAAGCCATATCTCATCACCGTCGACGTCGACAACCCTCCCAATCACCATGAAAATACTCCCCTCAACGTCCTAGCCAAAACCCATCTCACCCCACGCCCGTTTGCCTCACCAATCGCTAGTAAAAGCCAGTTGCTGTTGCCATCCTTTTTTTCCATTTTCGGTCGATTCACTCACCAGAAATCACCTACGTCGCCACCACTGCACTCATTAGCACTTTCTATTCAAAAGCCCCCAACATCTTAACTTTCAATTGTTCGTTGGTCATCGTCCCAATTTCTAGGATTTTCGATGAATAGGGAAATAGATAACTCAGCCCGGTGAAAGCCCCAAAGTTGAGTCGAATTGAGTTTTAAAACACTAGTATTTTTCGTTTATCAATTACATATTTATTAAAACTCAATTCGATTAAGTTAGTAAAACAACAATAATTATAAGTTCCAAGGGTGATCAAGTTTGAGTACCCTGAAATTTTTGGAGGAACTAGAACCAATCGATTCCTAAAATTGGGAACCAAAACCGACCGATTCTAGTTCTAGGTACCCTAGATAATTACATTAGTCCCTATTAGTTTACAAAATGACAAAAAATACCTTTAAAATTTACAAAGACACCCCCATTTATTTACATATTCTTTAACTTTTATCTTATTGATTAATTTAAATATTTCAAACAATTTTAATTAGTTGCTATAAAATTACTTAAAACCCCCCAATGTTGTATACTACTTCTTTTTTAAACCCTTGTTCTTTTCTCGGTTCCTAGTAGGGTACTCTATTCCCCGTTCCTAGCAGGGTACCCTATTCCAAGTTTCGGTTCCGATTCCCAATTCCAAGAATGAAGGAACTTGAACCGGAACCAGAGAGTCCCGATTCCTATGTTTAGAACTGAAACTTACCCTGTGAGGGCCAGCTCTAGTTCCTACCCGAAACTGAGATCCCGAGTACCTACTGATTCTTGGTAGAACCTATTTTCTTGCTCACCCCTAATTCCTAGTACATGTCTAATAGTTAATAACAAATTTAAGCATAATATAACATTAAGAATAATTGTGCTACTCCTGCCTAGCATATCTTCAAACTGATTGAAGGTTTAAGAAGCTTTTATGCAAAATAATGTTACATGAAATGCATAATATAACACACTTGTCGCTAAATTTTTTGGCAAATCTTGACATGAAATGCATAAACTTATCTACTAATCTCACCAATAATTAAATCGAAGCCTTTTTTGGCATTAACTTCCAAGTATTATTACACATGAGGATCAAATTATACTTTACTGTTGCCAACCATACTGTTGATTACTACGATTACCGCCCATCATGTTTGAGCCACGACCAGCACCAGAACCAGCATATGGACCCCCTCGAGGATAATTTGGGGCACCAACTCCATATCCGCTACCCCCTGCACCCCGTGGTCCAGCACCAGGCACGCCACTTGAACCATAAGCTTGACCTCTTCCTTGTGGGGGATATGTTCCGGTGCTATAACCTCCAGCGGCTCCTTGACCTCCACGATTTGGGTGGTTGTATCCCCCACTGGTTCCTCTTGGGGGATATCGGCCAGGACCTCCAGCAGGTCCACGAGGCTTTGCATAGTGGTGGCTAGGCCCTGCAGCAACTGGTGGCTGAGAACCATGCACCGGCTGGTTTGGTCCTGGACGCATCTGGAGATGTGCTTGCCCACTCTGAATGGGAGGAAGACGTGCATGTTGTTGAGGATGTTGTAGTTTCTGCCTTTTCGCATTTTCCTCATGCTGTCTTTGCTGCTGGCGCTTCTTCTTTGTCTGGAACTCATGTGATGATTCGTATTTGGGTAAACTGAAACATGGAAGGGAACAATGATAAAGAGAATAAATTAAGTGATCCATTTGCCAATAAATTAGAATGAGATTAGCAAGGCCAAATAGAGGGGAAATCTAACCTCTTGGGGTCACAAGGTAAAGGATCAGTCCAGAAATACTCTGCATCTAGTGCATCCTTGGCAGATATTCTCTAATTTTTTAAGAAAAATGAGAGGACAGCAAACACAAAGGCACACAAAAGCTTAGAACTCAGAAAGACTAAATCACACAGAATTCCAAAAAAAAAAAAACACACTGCATTTGAAATCCTTTATTTTTATGGAATGAGAGAAAAAGGTGGGAGTTGTACTAGCAGGGTGTCAAGAATCCTAAATATTCTACCATTTTATTTTACAAATCAGTTGATTCCCCCAATCGTGTATAGATTTTGTTTTCTAAATTAAGCGTACAGCTTGTGCCTATTCATTATTGTCTTCTGATACTGGAAAAATAATAAGAAAATTCATATTTTTCTTCCATTTTTAGCATGGTACCAGGTCAGGAAAACTTTGATCTGTCCAGATCCATTACCCAGCATAACCAAGCCTTCATTTGTCAGCTATATCTCCGATCAGACTTCATTGAAAAGCAGAAATTTCCTCAGTTTTAGGACAACATTAATAGCTGTGACACAGCTATTTTTGCTCAGACTAATCTTAAATGCCGGAAAACTGATTTCCAGAAAATTCCTTACATACCAAAAGAATCTTTTTTCTCAAGACATCAGTAGTTCTTCCCTTTCGAGTTTTAACAAAGAGCAGTTCAATATCTTTTCTAAACCATCAAATATCTTTTCCTTTAACCAATCAAAGAGTTTCCACCATTTTTAGTTTGCTTAATACGATGTCTGGGTCCTAATTCATAACATTTTGGTTCAGAGTAGTTACAAGGTTTGTAACCTATATTGGCGATTGCTCTACATCCATTGGGTATACCTCGTTCAAATTGAATATGAGGTGAATCAGGTTTTCCTCATCATTCAAAAAATGATTATAAACAAATTGATATAAAATCAATAGTCTTCAATCTGATAGTGGAAGGAATTTTTCAACAATGAACTCCTTTCTCTTCAAAATGAGAGGATTATCCACCAAAATGGGATGATACACTCCAAAAAAATGGAGTAACAGAAAGGGGGGAAAAAAAGGCCCTCATTGGAAGTTGCTAGATTACTCTTCCAAATGAAAGTTCCAAAAAACCTACTGGGGGTAGCTGTTTTAAGATACGATCTCATAAATCCTAGGCCTTCACAAACTTTTTATTTCAAAACTCCTTTACAATGTATGACGCAATGAAATTGATAAGCACTAGATAATGTTCTATAGAAGTAATTTCAATCCATGAATGGTAACTGTATCCATGATAATATGATATGATGCTAGTCATCAATCATAGATTACATAACAAGAGTATTTATATAGACTATTTATAATGCAACTAGAATAAGGCAAATTCTAAAATTCCAAATTAAGCAAGAAAACAATCATAACTTTCTATATGAAATAGAAAATTTAATAAACTATGACTTAATAAGGAAGCTGACTCATTTGATTGTAATTGTTGGATGCATATAATTTGTACAATCATGGCCATAACTAGACAAAGTTGGATCCAAGAGCCCAATAAGTGTATCTCGCAATCCAACCCATGTGGCAGCAGGGATCGCAGGGTAATTACTCAGGTTTCCGAGTATCTAAAGGGCAGGGGACTAGTTTAGCTACCTCGGCTGGGGTCAGGGAGAGCCCAAACCCAAGACCTAGCCTTAGAAATATTAGATTTTAGGCTTATTGGGCCTTAAACAGGTTATTTAATGACGTTCTAAATTTTTGGTGAAAATGACAACACGGACACTTGAACTGGTGTAAAGCAGTTGACTGATACCTCTCAAGCCAACTTAGTTGTATCTTTTGATTGTTTAAAATGTGCAAAGTAATATATATAATTTCAGTAAATAATGTTTTATTAACCAATTTATTTGAAAAAATATAACCTTAGTTCCCCTTTATATTTTTACAAGCCAACTGTCATTATACCATTTCCATCACCAGTTAACATCATTTAGCATCCCACTATCATTGTCCAATCCACATCACTTGTCGGAAATGGCTGAAATTTTAAAGAGGAATGCAATTTTCTTTATATTTTTTTTAGGTTAAATTCTGGGTATAAAAACCAGGGTTTGGGAAACCTACCTTTGGCCCCAAAACCCTAACTCTGGATTTTTCCATCAGTACAAGTACCACCCTCTTGCTAAATGTACTTAAATCACTATGGGTCTCACATTCCTAAAACATCATCCCTGTTTCCCTTTCACCTATCTTTAGGGGAAGACAAGCAAAGAGTATTAAGATAGGAGGCATACTTCTCATGTCCAAGCAGAACTTATTGCTTTTAATCTATTTTCAGTCCAACTGAAACTTATAAGTTCCAATATTTATACCATGATTGAGGTGTACAGGAACATCTTATATTGAACTGAGACTAACCAAGACAGTGAGGATAAAATCCTTTAGATTTACCATCTACTTCGTTACTTACTGAACCCAACAAATCAAAAGAGGAAGAATCATTTACCACAACTTAAGGTGTATTCAAGGAGATAGACCACCAAAATCTCTAGTAATGACCAATCAATTGAACATGAAACAGATTATAATCCAATTTTTTATTTCATTACCCTATTTTGATCGTTTTGATAAGCCTCAACAATTGATTTCATTAATCCTATTTCTGATCATTTTGATAATCTTCATTTCCCTATCGCCCTTAGTAAAGAAACTAGGAATGTACTTAACATTCAACACTCAGCTGTCCTCCAGAAGCATCCCTCAAGCAGTCAATGAAACAATAAGAGACAAACATACACAAATCATCATTGAAGAAACAAGAGCGTTGCATAAAAATGAGGCAACTAGTGGAAGTTTCCGAATTGAAACCACCAGCAGTCTTCATTGACCCATTTCCATCATCAAAGAAAGCCATCACCCCATGGTTAAAGAGATTTGTCAAATCTAAGGTGAAAATCGGTTATAAACAAAGCCAAGGAGATCACAATTTATTTCTAAAGAGATTCTGATTAGGGAAAATGATAGCCTTGATACTCTACGTGGATGACATTATTTTCACCAGGAATGATTTGGAAGAAATTGAGAAATTGAAGAGCCACCTTACTAACAACACTTCATGCAGAAAGAGGAATTTTTATATCTTAGCAAAAGTATATTCTTCAACTACTAAAAAAAGTGGACATATGGAGATGCAAACCTATAGACATCTAAACTCAACTTAACAGGGGGGTGTGGGGGGTGGAAGGAGGGGAATATGTTGCAATAGACCAAGAGAGATATTAGAGATTGATAGGAATTTATATACTTGTTCCGAATAAACCAAATATCGCATATCTGGCAGAAGCCTATACTGATGTTGATTGGGTCAGTTCACTTGTAGTATGAAGATCCACAACAGGATATTGCACCTTTCGCAAGGAAATCTTATCATTTGGAAGAGTGAAAAAGCAATCAATCATGACAAGATCTAACAAAGAAGTTGAATTTAGTGCAATGTTTCATGGGATTTGTAAACTACTATGGTTGAAGATCATTCTCTTTGATCTTGAGATATTCAATAAGGTTACATCATCCCTACAAATCTGCCATTATAATCCAGTACATTAGATCGAACCAAGCATGCAGTGATGGACAGACATTTCATTAAAGAAAAACCAACAAATAAGGACAACATGTACTTAGTATGTGGCTTCAAATGAACAGTTGGCTGGCCCATCATAAAAGGACTGTCCTGCTGCACATTTCAGTCTATTCCTAACAAGTTGGGAATGGAAACATTTTTCACCAGCTCAAGAGGGGGTGTTAAAAATGTGTTTGATAAATTTACCTAGAAAAAAGTTGCCTTGAGAATTATGTTTTTAATTGATCATATATTTAGTTCCTGTATGTATCCACTGATATTAATCATTGACCCTAGAAATGCATAGGTTTCTACAATTTTGTATAAACCGACTTGTCTCCTAAAGTAGGCATAAAATTCTAACCATTTATTGTTGTGTTTTCACATTTAGAAATACTAAGAAAAATCATTTCTTTCATCCATTTTCAACACATAAACATGCCCACAAATAACACGGAGCAAAAACCATGTGATAACATGATACCTGAACAGGATCTAGAGTTAGCATTCTCTCCAACAACTCCAAAGCATGACGATCAAAACTGTTACAGAAAAGTAGCAATGCAAACCAAGAGACAAAAAGGTCACCTCAATATAGGCAATTGTTAAATATTTAAATTGTGGAAATTATAGTAAATATGAACAATACAAGTTTAGTTATTTACTTCCTAAAAACCTCCCTGACACGTCTCTTCATTGGCCTTGTTGGCTTGAAGTTGTTATACCATGGCATCTTTGAAACCCCAGGCCAATTGACCTCATCTGGGGCTCCACACAGTTCAAAAATCTTATTCAATTGCTCCGGCTACAATATATGGAAAAGGATTGAAGTTATGTTGGTGCCTTGTCAACAAATACTAAGATAAATCTCAACATAATACAAAAGCAAATTTATGTGCCTAATAAGTGTGTATATGTAGAATAATCATATTTCCTCAATCTGCCATTGAGGATATCAAATCATTCAAAGTTAAGCTAATTAATAACTAAATATAAACACAAGCCTTAAAAATTTAAGCCTAAAATAGAACGATTGGTAACCAACAAACCATGAAAGGTTTGAAAATAATTATCAATCCATGTGAGTTTGTTTGTGTACCAAATCCATGACCAGGCTCACAAATTTTTTACTTTTGGCAATTCTGTTTGCAAAAAATGATTACCAGAAACTATGAAATTATGCAGAAATATATAAAACCAAATCCAACCACTGGATTAGTCAAATTATATTCACAAGTCTAGCTCAAATAGCACTGAGGATGAGATCTTTATTTGACTCCTAAGCCACCATAATCTTCCATCATATGTGTTTAATGCAAGTCAATGTATCATTGTATCATGATTTACTAGCGACCCCCAAATAATAATATAGGGCCCCTTTGGTACACAATTTTTCAATATTCTATTCCATATTCTATCCAAAATACACATTTATTTCCTTATTCTCAAAATATTATTCTATATTATTCAATTCTTTTTAAACCCTCTAGATTTGTTAATTTAACTAAACATCCCCCAAAAAAAAAAATTTTAGAAATTGACAAAAACACCCCAGCAACCCACATTTACCAAATTCCGGCCACCACTATCGGAAGCTGGCCGGAATCTGGTATAATGGCGCACTACCGACTAGATCTGGTCGGTAGTGCGCCGATCTAGCCTTTTCCGGCCAGATCCACTATGGATCTGGCCAGAAAAGGCCATATCGGTGCACGACCGGCCAGATCCAGCCGGTCGTGCGCCGATACGACAGCTCCGGCCACCCTCCGGCAGTGGTGGCCGGCTGTCGGTATTTAATGGTTGAGTGGGGGTGTTTTTGTTAATTTTCAATATTTTATTATAGGGGTGTTTAGTAAATAAACAAACTTAAGGGGGTATTTTTCTTAATTTCCAAATCCTACATCGTAATAACCACCCAATTTTACTTTTTTCAAAATATTATTTTAAAAAGTATCAGAATAATGAACCAAGTGCACCCATATTTTTTAGCATCCTTCAAATATTAATCGTAAAAGTAATAAAAATTATATAAGATAATGTAACTTGCCTCATCTTTTCCAGGGAAAATTGGTTTCCCATGTAGAAGTTCAGCAAAAATACATCCAACAGACCACATATCAACTGCTGGACCATACTTTGTTGTCCCAAGCAGCAACTCCGGAGGTCTGCTCAAAACAAGACAAATTTGAACTAACTGAGTGGTTATCTATCCCAACTTTTATTCCTTTTCTCATTGGTTTCCATTTAGGTAGGAGGAAATGATGCATACTAAAATGAGAAGTTTAGATACTTCTGTGAAAACTCTTCATCTAAGGGAGAAAACAATTACCTATACCATAAAGTAATAACACGATTTGTGAGATTCGCATTGTGTTCATGTGAAAACGACCGCGCAAGCCCGAAATCTGCAAGTTTCAGATTACCCTCATTGTCTATTAGAAGATTAGAGCCTGCAGCATGAATAGGAAGCCTCATACATTTGACCTCATGACATCTAAAGATCCAATAGTGAAATCCTTGCTTCAATTATAACCTTTGATATCACGATGAAGTACTTGATTTACATGACAGTAGTGAAGACCGGTCAGGAGCTGCCTCATATAGCACTGCGTGAAAAAGGAAAATAAGTGAGACAGCTACTTTCTTATCTAAAAAGTTAAGAGCTAATTTATATAGCCTGTCAAGCATCACATTGCCACTGATCAAATAGTAGAAGGGCATTTCCCCATCCTATAAGTGACACCTTAATCTGGGGAACTGAAAATCTCATTCCAGGACGATCAGCAAGACCTGTCAAATCATGGTCCATGTATTCAAAAACCATGTAGATGCCACCTTTATACTTGTTACCATCTGCAAGTAATGTGGCCAATGTTAGATATTCTCAGCCCTATAATAAAACAACAAGACAAAAGCCTACTTGCCTGGCCTCCCCTGTTCATCCTTCTCGGGACCTGAAAAAGAAATGAAAACATTTATGGATCAAAAGAACAAATCAATAACTAAACTCTTTACGTGTTTTGCCAAAGCTGAACCAACTATGTATATATTATATATTCCAGTTCTAGTTTCCCTGGATCATCAGCAATCCTAAACAAATTATAATATTACCCAGGATCTTTTACATGCTCTTTTCTGTGCTTATCTCAGCTCTGACTTATATATTTTATTTTCTGGGTTTTTTGTTGTCTGGTTACTGGATTAAGTTGTGCTGTTTCAGGTCCATTTTTTATTGTTTTGTTGGAGATTGGATCCCAATTAAATGTGAAAGAAAGGAATCTTGATCTTAAGGCCTTCCCACTGATGGGTAAAATTGGCAATGTTTACAAATTCAGCCCAAGTTACCAAGTTTTTGGGCTATAACAGTCCGCTCAACACCAAGAGTTAGAAATTAAGTCCACGGCTCACATGTTCTTAGAACTTTTAGCATTTAATGATTCTTTTTGAAGGAGCAAATTCAATATGAATTTTACAAACTGATGAAGTATCACTTAATATATAGATCAAAAAATGGAGTAGTTGATGCAAGTGGACCGACAAGACACAAAAGTTAACTTCATCCATGAAATTGTTAATTACTGGAAATCCAAATTAAACTAAATAAAATTTATTATCAACCTGATTGACAAGAATTTATTTTTAATTGAAAAAAAAATTAAACTACTAAGACGAAACTTACATCAATGAATTGAAATCAAACACTGACAACTAACAATAAAAAAAAAATCCATCATTTCATTTAATCTTTCTAGCAAGTGACACATCATCAATTTGTAAAATCTACATTGAATTTGCTTCTTCAAAGTGACAGACCAAATGCTAAATGTTCTAAGAATTAAAAATTGTTAGGGGCTAGTGGAGACCATGTAGACCATGGACTTTATTTATGTTTCAAGGCTTTGACTCCACTTTTATAGTTCAAAACCTGGTTCCTTGGCTTGAATTTGTAATGTTATTTATTTCATTTACCTAATAAAAAAATAAAACCCTAATTAAGTAAGCACAATGTGAGTTTAGTAGTGCCACTGTGGTTATTTTATTTAATTAATTTTATTTTTGTGGTCGAAGTCAACAGATTGGTTTCAGACTTTCAGTGGTAGTTGAAACCTTGTATGAATCATAAGGCACTCCAATATTATCTAGTTGGGAGGTTGGTCTATTTACAGGTAAAACCAACCTCCAGGGAGGTCAATGATTAACCTAAGAATATATCATCAGCATAATTGTTTCATAAAGAAAGGTGCATACAAACACACAAGTTGATACAAATTACAATCATACCTGGAGATGTCACAATCTCTTTCAACTTAATTACATTCTCATGGTGCAGCTTCTTTAGAATTTTGATTTCTCGTATGGCAGTGATGGGGAACTGCATTAACAATTTTAAAGAATTAAAAATAAAATGAAATAAAAAATATTTCATGAGTGAAATATGGTTATTAAATGACATAATACTCCCAAAGCGTGGGAACTTCTATCTTTATCCCATTTAGACTCTCAAAATGCAACCTATCTTGAGCATAAGGCATTTAAGAACAATGGGAAGGAAAGGGCAGTGTAGATGGCCCGATACTGCCAAATCTGTAGCATATATTACAAGCTTGTTGCACATAGTTTGTTTACAATAAGAAGATAATAATGATTAACTAGAAGGTAATAACATACCCCTTCTCTCTCATTGTCCATTCGTATTTTCTTCAATGCTACAATTTCACCTGTTTTTATTTCTCTGGCCATGTAAACTTGACTGCAAAAATAATAAATCACATAACTAAAACTGGATAAAATTTTATATAAGTCAAGTAAAAACTAACTCTAACTCAAATATGTAATAGTCCAACTCAAACAAGTTATGTCCCTAAATCCTTAAGAATGAAATATTTCAAAATTATATAACAAACCTTAATTTAAAGGCAAATCACATAAAGAATAATTCTAGTCCAGTCCTACATACCAAACATCCAAATGGATCATACTACCATATTAGGGGAATGATAAAATTCCTTGGAAACCTAGGCCATAGAGAAACTAGAAAATGTATCTTGTCCACTAATTATCGACTTCTTTCCCTTTTTCTCATTCAAAATATGCGTGTTTTTCTTGCAAATCACCCAATTTCTTTCCTCTCCCAAAGATAAAAGCATTCTCCTCAAGCACATCACTATAGTTTCTAGAACAACCAACATCTATTAGTTTCCTTGCACAAACTAGCATAACAATTTTGGCATTGAATTTGGGAGTTTCCCGGAATGTACCTAGGAAAAACAAAGGTTCCCTCCTTATTTGTGCTAACTCAAAGATCATGGTTAAGACTAACACTAGTGAAGCTATTACCTTGAGAAGCTACTGGCAAGAAACTAGTAGATCTATCCAAGGATATTGGGCAAGACTAATATAAGTTCCTCAACTAGATAGGGACTCGTTTAATATTTAGGAATGAAAGGGTGTCTTGGGGTTGGTTTCAATAAAAGAAAATAAAAACTTATGTTAACCTTGATTCTGACAATCATAGACATGACAGCCAACAAAAAAAGAGAATCAGCAAAAAAGTGGACAGGGTGCTGGGTAGAGAACAACCCTACCAGACTATTTACCAAGATATAAACTGACCAACTGCTCAATTGCAAGAAGCTGGGAAGAGAGCAACGCCAACAGATCATTTTACAGGATATAAACCAGCTCAACTGCCCATTTCAGCTCGGTTGGGTGGTTTCATTGTCCACCCGTAAGTATTACCCAACAGTATATATAAACAAAACATTTGGTAAAATAAATAATAAACCATCGATTCCTGGTTTTGCATTAGTGCTACCAATGAAATCAATACTACTAAACACTAAATTGATGAAGCTGATGAAAGAGTGAAGGGCATTGGTAGCAGAAGAAAATGTTATATCCCTAAAAAGTGGGTTGAAGAAGAAGACTATCAATATATTCACAATGCCACCTTCACAAGCTGAGTTTGTAACTACAATTTGCTACTTAAGTTTCCATAACCATTATTCATATTAAGCTCAATTCCGCAATAAAAAAGAAACACTCTTGGAACCACATCAGGTATTTCCAGATAATATCTCCCAGGAGTTGACAAGGGTTTAATCTGCACATTTTTGGGACTTATTCAACTGAACATATTAAATTGATGATTTGAAGATTCTCCACCAAGTTTCTATTTTCTTTAGTTTTTCGACACCCAAAAAATCTCTCGAACCTTCCTAGAACTCTAAATTAGAAGTTACTTCCACACCCCGCAAGTTTCTAATTCATACCCAATAATCAAGTTGCCTAACTTGATTATTGAACGAACTTGAAGTAAACTACCATGCCAAGTAACAAGCAAAATAAGAAGAAACAAATCACTTCCACAATGACACATTCTATTTCAAACCATAATGTCAGCCAAAGGTATTGATCAAGCACTCGATACTACTACTACTATATAACCTTTTTCTTTTTATGATTTGTTTGAAGTTTTTGGCGGAAAACAAAAAAGATGACATGGTTGAAGCGGGGTAAGGAGAAAAAAAAAAAAAAAAACAACAACAACAACAACAGAAACTGACCCATAAGTGCCCTCGCCAATTTGTTCCAATTTCTCGAAGCAATTGACACTTCTAGATCCCCAAGCAGGAGACTCGTTCAGGTTAAGCTGACCAGGGGCCGCTATAGCCATCTCTTCACCCTCCTCGTTCTTCAGTAGATAATATATATACTTATATATCCCAAAAACAAATATTTCAACAAATTAAAATGATATTAATATTTATTAAACAAGAGAAAATTTGGATAGAAAATTAAAAATTAAAAAAATAAAAGAGCTAAAATTTACCGGAAGTATGGGAAACGGTCAGAGGAGAATTGAGAAAAAAGTATGCGGAGGCAGCATTCCCAGTGTTTCTTCCAGGAGAGATCCCGTTATAAAAGCAGAGCTTTTTTAGTTGTGTTCTGATTAAATTTGTTCAAATATTCAATTAAACAACTTTAGGGTCCGGTCAACAACGAAATAAACCCATGTCTCATTTAAAACATTAAAACATTGTAAAATTACTAATTTGACCTTTTTAGGGGTACTCTTTTTTTTTTGGTTAATTTCATTCAACTTGACTCTACTCAAGCAGCTAACAGTTAGATTGGAATTGATTTTAAAAAGCTAGAATATAATTATTTTATAATTTTTTTTTTTTTTACAAAATTAAGGAAACTATGTTAAATAACACATTTTTTGAGAACTCAATTAAAAATAGTCTCTTTTTGAAAGCATCTCAATAAATAGTCCTACTCCAAAATTTCACTCATTGGACCAAAATACCTTTTTTAACCTTAAAAACTCAAAGTGGCAAATAACCAATTGACAGGTATCTATCAGTTAACCGACATAAACTAATAGAAACTAATAGGCATCTATCAGTGACCAATAGGAATCGATAATTGGTCACCGATAATAACTCTATCGACTCCTATGGTCATTGATGGAAACTGATATAGATAAAGTTTTAATACAAAATGTAAACGATAAAATTTACAATTGAATTTAAGAAGACAGAATCTTATGGGGTGAGCCACTGACAATCTTGGTGGCCCTGCGAAGGGTGTCCTTACGACTATGGGGGAGCCTTAGCAATATAGGGAAGTTGGAGTACATGAAGAGCTTGGGAATACGGGTACTGGAACTTTGGGGTGGTTTCTGAATGCCTAATGAGAGGGTCAGCCCCTGTTTATATAGTGAACCCAAGGGTCCGAATCCTAATAGGACTTTGAGTCCTACTTAGTATGTGAGTTCCTTTTTCGAAAAGAGATTAGATCTTCTACCTTTATCGGTTCAGGCTTTCCTCTTTGGGTGAGATGTAGGATCTTGTTAAAAGAGAAATTTGACTACGATTATGATCCTTGTTACGAACTACTGTGGGCGAATGGGCCAAACCCAGTTCAGCTTAACTCGTAGGATGACCCAACTTATAAAACAGGCAGTTCACAAGGTATTCTAAGCATAGACTCAATCGGATTAGGCCAAGACCTTGGGTTGTTGTATATTTATGATGCTATTGGACCTCGTCAGGTCCAATACGATTTTTGGCCCATACAGTTTGTTCCTCATTCTCTAAGTTAAAGGCTATTTAGCTTAAAGAGTAGATTCAATTACTCGTATTTGAGATGCAGATAGGTCATTACTCCTAGGCGGAGGGTTTGATCGTCTACGGTGTCTAGGGGACACGTCTAGATCGGCTTGGTATCAATGGCCAAGCCGAATGAAAAAGAAATCATGGGGATTTCATGTGAAGTCTCTAAGAAAGTCATTAGTACTGCTCGGTTCGGCGGTGTTTTAGCGAGGAGTACTTTATCCGAGCCGAGCGGGATGCATTTAGTCTAGATCCTTCATGTGCGATCATCCGATGTTGGCCTAGCCCGTTCCGTTTTGTACGCTATGGGATAGTTGGATGAGGATTGGTGGTCCGAGCAGAGCCAATCGAAGTAATTGCCGAGTTCTCGAAGAGGTGAGGGCATAAAGGTGTGGGTCTTCGATCTTCAATTGAGGCATCTTGTTGAGAATGTTGGAGCCATGCTAATTTTGTAAGATTGAAGGATCCCAGGACGACATGGTCTGGATACTTAGGTGCCTTGCCTCATGTGGATCACGTGCGAGATAGGAGAGGCGGGAAACAAAAAGTTTCCACGTTCTAGTGGCCAATAGAATTCTGCCATGTAACGCCCAGCATGGAGGTATATGATTTAATTTATGTTTTTATAGCCCTTACTTAATTTTTGTTAAAGTGATTTTAAGAGAATATGAAGAAAATGCCTTAAACATGCATTAAGGGTAAAATGGTCTTTTCACTCAAAATTAGTTGAAAAAGTGGGGAGTGAAAAGAGAGAGAATTTCATAGAGAATGCATTAAAAATGAGGGCATTATGGAAATTGACTAAGGGACATAGATGGAATTTCCAAGAAAGAGTAAGGGCAAAATGGGAAAGTGTGTTTATAAACTAAAGTGTTAAGGGTTTGAAACCCTTATTTTCTTCATTCCACCGCCACACTCCTCCCCTATTTTCTCTCAAATTTTCATTCAATCCTCCAAGGATTTTGAGGGCTTTTGAGTGGTTTTTCATAGGGTTTTGATTTTAGGCTTCAAGAGGTAAGGATTCTTGCTCTTTATCTATGTTTTATTTGTGTAAAAGTTGAGTTCTTATGGAGTTTATGCTTAGGGTTAAGAGAAGATTTGAATCCAACAAGAGTAGAGAGCTTAGTAGAGACTACTCAAGCATAAGGTAAGTAAATTCCACTCAAAATCCAACTCAAGTTAAAGTTTAAGAAAATCAAGTGAGTAGAGATTTCTTTTAAATATGCATATGTTATGATTATTGAGAAATTGAGATGAGATGGATGATTATTTATGCTTGTTGTTGGATATACTTGAATATGAGGAGTGTATGTGATGGTTTGATGATGGGTTGAAATTGGAAGAATTGGAAAAACTTTTGGGAGTGTTTTTGCCGTGTAGGTATGGTGATGTTACAAGAGAGTTTTTCTCTCAATTTGGATGGTTTAAGCAACAAATAGAATGATAATTACATTAGGGTTTGTTTATGCACAAGTATTGTTTGATGAAATGTCTAAGAGAAGTATGAGTTGAGTGGAAACCTTAATTTTATGCAACATTGCATATGTGCATTTCATAAGTGCATTTAAGTAAGAAATTTTAAGCATGAGCCATCCATATGCATAAAATTGTGTATGTGTAGAAACTTAATAAAGAATAAAGAATAAAGAAAGAAAGAATAAAACACTCTAAGAATAAAAAGAAAGGAAGAATAAGCATTAAAGAATTAAAGAGTGTTAAAGAAAAGTAAAGAATAGGTTGGTGTGATGGGGAACCGTGAGTGTTAAGAAGAAATTCTCACATACACGTCACCTTAATTGAGTGGCATAAGAAGAAGAAGAATTGTACGACCCGTAAGAGTGTATGTGGATGAGGGTTGTACCAAGAAGAATTCCTACATGCACGTCACCTTAATTGAGTGACCTAAGAAGAAAGAAAAATTTGTACGGTCCGCAAGAGTGCATGTAGATGAGGACTGTACTTACTCACACGGCCAAGGTTCCGAATCCATACATCAACCGAGTCCGATCGGCAAAGAATAAGAAAGAATGAGAAAGCTTGAACAAGTAAAGAAAAGAAACAAGAAAGAAAAGAGAAGCTTGGGCAAGCAAGACAAGAAGAGAAAAGAAAAGCATAGAAAGAAAAAGAAAAGAAAAGAAAAGAACAGAATAGAATAGAATAGAATAGAAAAGAAAAGAAAAGAAAAGAAAAGAAATGGAAAGAAGAAATAAAATGCATTTTTATGCATTATTGCATATGCATTTCATTTATGCATATTCCCATAAATTTTATTACGGTTAGAAAGAATAGAAGAAAAGCAAGAAAAGAAAGAATAGAAAGAACATAAAGAAAGAAAGAAACAGAGAGAATTAGAAAGAAAGAAAAGAACAGTGAGAATTAGAAACAGAGAAAGAAAGAAGAAGAGAATTAAGTAAGGAAAGAATCAAAGAAGAAGAAAATTTAAGGGATTTAGTTACTAAGCATTTTTATGCTCACCCCGTTGTTTTTCCATGTTTTTGCAGGAAATAGGTGAGCAGCGGTCGGAAGGATGTCAACAAGCGGAGAGAATTGGCATTACTGTCCACCGTTGTTAAATTTTTGTACTTGTTTTTTTGATATAGGTAAAGAATTATATTTTGTATGTAAAGAAAAATTTGGGCCCAACTATTTTCATATGCTAATTATGTATGTTTTTTATAGTATATGTTATAAAATATACTATTAGAAAGAAGTCATTACAATTGGCATCCGGAAGGTCTAACCATCTTGATGTTCTTATAATGTTTTCTAAGTTGTAGGTTTAACAAGATCTTTCCTATCCTTTTGTTTGGTCTTGCGCCAATGAAATATTCCTAAAGTGACCAATATAGGAATAGATGGGATTGACCTCAATGATACCTTATGGATAAATTGTGTATCGGTATTTGCTCTATTACCATTCTATAGTCAAATTGATGGTTTGATGGTGAAGTTATCAACCGTAGCAGACTTTGAAGAATCATAATTATGGACAATGGTTAGGCAACGGATTCCACACTATTTATCAGACAATTTTTTAAAGATGCCGAACTACAATATCAATAAAAAATTAAGTGGCTTAACATCTCTCTAAGTTGGTATTAGGCAAGTAGCCTAATACTTGGTTTGACAATAAAAAATAAGTTGGGACTGACTGATATAGGAATAGATGGAATTGTTTATGATGGAATTGTTTATCTTTCTGATATATCAAGCTATCCAAATTTCGACCATCCTTAGATCATGGACAAGTAATCAAATTTATGGTTTAGCAATGTTCCTAGAAAAGTTATAACAAATTATAAACGCAATTAATTACATCCTGATTATGGTTTAGCAATGGCATGTAGACGTCGATGATACCTTTATCTGTCAAAATTCCAAGCATTCTTAAATCATGATATCATAATCAGTATTTGCCCTATTACCATTCTATAGCCGAATTGATGGTTTGACAGTGAAGTTATTGATCACAACAGGTTTTGAACAATCATAATTATGGACAATGGTTAGGCAACGGATTCCATACAATACAATCTTTATATATATATATATATATAAAGCTGAATACCCATGTGGGTTGTTCGCCATGTGGCACATTTTGGAAGCTCTAGAATTGCTCTATCTTGACACGTTGGATTGATATTTATTGCTTCATCTATAATTATTAATTAATTAAAAAAATGGGATCTGTATTAATAATTAATAATAATAATAATATAGGTGCATTGGCATTCCAAAGATGTGCATTAATAAGGTGAATACCCATGTGTATATATAAAGTTGAATACCCATGCGGGTTGTTCGCCATGTGACACATTTTGGAAGCTCTAGAATTACTCCATTTTG